TGGGTCCCAATCAGGCAACGACGACTTCGAGGTTTTACCATGATGGCGATGTGCGACTTCTACAATCCACCTCCATCAAAATCTTGAAGGCAGCCGAGAGTTCTATGCACGGAGGCGCTCTCGTCGTTGTCCCGATTAGTTCGACTGATGCACATTCGTTCATCGGGGTCCCAGTTCTTATCGACAAGGGCATCCATGAGAACCCTAGCAAGGAATTTGGAATTTTGGGTTAGAGATGAAGGTGCAGAATTAATGAGGAAAGGAAGGGTGATGGGAGATGAAAGAAGGGGGTGAGCTCAAGTGGGGAAGATGAAGATTGGTTTTTTTTATTTTTTATTTTTATTTTTATAGTTTTCTTTAATTAAATTATTTTAATATTCTAAATTTTTTATTAAGTGTTTAAAACCACGTGGCACAAAAGTGGCAGCTATGTCAGCACAAATGAGAATTTCATATTTGTCATATCATCACTTAACAGTTAATTTAATAGACTTTGTAACGGTTGTATGAAATTGAAATAAAATAATAGTAAATGTATGAGATTGAAATATTTTAAAGATGTTGTACGAGGTTGCAATTGCACCGAGACCTAAGAGGGTAAAATATAATTTACCCTTTTTTTCAGAACATTGACATGGAGAAAGGCAAGGAAAATTTTTGGGTCTCATATCACTGAAACTAAGAAAAAAAAATATTTCTAATCACTTATCGGTGGTCAAATGCAATCAAAGAGGAACAACAAAGAGATTAGAAAGAGAGAGAGAGAAAAAAAAAAAGAGTTATGGGACTATGGCGGTAGTGCTATGAACAGAAAGAGAAAGTGGAGACGAAATTGATTAGAAGAAACTAGAAAGGGAAGAGGCAACCTCATTTTGTGTGAAAAAGAGGATTTTATTTGTAGTCGTTCGATTTGCCTGAACAGCTAAGATTCAAGGATCTATCGGATCAGTAGAGTAAGATCAAGAGAGGATCTTAGTCCTTTGCAGGAATCTGGTGTTGTTTTGGTAGCCCAAGAGAGGGAAGTTCTAGTCACTTTTTCCATGTTCTTTGACAAGTCAAGCTCTGGACCCAAGCACTTGATTCTGGACACAAATCTTCTCCAAATCTAAGCCTAGGGATTAATAAATTCGGGCCATTGAAATTTGATCAAACGGCTATAAACTGGGGACCTCCCTAAAAGTTATAATAATTGTAACCGTTGGACCAAATTTCAATAGCCCGGATCTATTGAACTCTAGGCTCAGATCCGGAGAGGATTTGTGTCCCTTGATTCTGACTCTGATAATGTTAGTCTCTACATCTCTCTCTAGAAACTGCATATGACTTCCTCTGATAAAAAGGCCTAAACTTTCCTTGATTAGGCAGAGAAGAAAGACGAGGAAGAAGGAAGAAGAAGGTGCACACATCAAAGTACATTTTTATCTCTGCATTTAATAGGCATTTAACGAAAAAAAATCACTTTTCGACTAAATTTATTAATGGACTATACCACAAGGGATTAAGGGCTGGTTTGGTATTGCTGTGCTTTGAAAAAAAGCTGCTGTGAGAATAAGTGGCTGTGTTGTGAGAATAAGCGACTGTGAAATAAAGCCAGTAAAGTGTTTGGTAAACTTTTTTGTAAAAGTGCTTTTGGAAACAAAAAGCAGTATCATAGTGTTTGGTAAACTTTTTTGTAAAACAGCTGTGACTGTGTGAAATGACCAAAAAGGGTATATTACTAGATGTGCTATTAATTTAATTTTATTAACAAATAAAAGTGAATTACTAAATATATTTTATTTTTAGAAGAAAAATATTTATAAACTTTATCTTAAATATTAATTAGTATGACAAACTACTTTAATAGAAATATTTTAGAGTGAATAGCTAGGATTCATTAGTACAATATTGTTAATGTACTTGAAAGTAGTCTAATTAGATGCATTCATCAAACTTGTTGCTATTCTATTTCTTAATGCCTCTATCTCATGTGATCTTTCAACTTGATAATTTTGATATTCATCATCATCATCATCACTACTATCGCTTTCTTCACAAAAGTCCCTGTGGTCATCCAAATGACGATCACGTTCAGAATACCTCCGTATGTAGTTATGAAGAGCCATTGTAGCAATGACAATCTTCACTTGCTTATTGAACGAGTAATTAGGCATATCCAATTAATTTTTTCCACAAACCATATCACCCTTCCCCAATTAATTTTTCCCCACCCTCCATCCCCAATTGTTTTTCCCGACACCCATTCCCTCATCCCTTTGCTCTTCCCACCCCTCTTTCCCTAATCTCCCCATCCCTAATTTGAAAAATCCAAACAAATAAATGAGAAGCTTACCTGGAGAAATCTGGAGAACGAGAGAACGAGTTCGCTAGTTTTTGGAACGACAGAACGAGAGAACGAGAGAACGAGAGAGAGCCTGAGGTTCGGGTTATGAGAGAGAGCTCTGAGGTGAAGAGCGTGTGAGAGAGTTCTGGAGAAAGGCGAGAGCGTCGGTGAAGGGAAAGTCGAGGGCAGTTTTGGGTTATGGTTATTTCATTAAACCTGGACACTGTTCACCTGTGTGTGGGTGAAAATAAGCTGCTTTTGGAAGCTGCAAATTGTAGCTTCTTGTCATCTCTCTGTTTTGGGCTTTTTTTCACCCTCAACTTTGAAAAAAAGCTGCTTTTTAAAGTTTACCAAACACCAAAAATTTTCATAGCTTTTTTTCATAGTAGCTTTTTTTTTAAGCACCTCAATCCCAAACAGGCCCTAAATCCTAATTCTTTTACCACATGGACCATCTTCCAATTACCTTAAATTTTCAGAAGTTGTCAATTTCTGATATGCTTTTGATTCAATTGTACTTGTTTCTGTTTTCTGTATTAGTAGGTTTTTAAGGGGGATATTGTTAGGATGCCAAATGGATAAGATTGGATTGTTGAGGTTGTTAAAGGTGGTTAAAAGTTATTAAAGGGTAGCTTAAGGAGTAAGCTAGGAAGTTATTATAAATAGCAGCAGCTGTAATAATTAGAGAGTTATGTTGATGATTGTAATAGTCTTTGTGTAACACAAGAAGGTATTTTGCAATTGATAAAGAAGTGGAGTTGGGTTTTAACATTAGTATCGAGCCAGTCGTTTGTCCATCTCAATCATTTCCTCGTTGTATGCTGCGTCTAGCTTTGAGTAAATCTATGGAAACTTGCGTCTCGAACCTAGAGGCCTCGTTTGCAAATTTTTGAAATAAACTCAAGGCCGCTCAACACAAATTCAAGGCACGCCAAGCTGTGATCTTGCAGCAACTGCAGTTACTTATGGCAAGAGGTAGGTGTTGGATTGGTCGGTCAATTTTTAAAGCTAACCCATGTAGATCCTCATTTCCAGGAGGGTATGAACCCTAATATTTTCCTCTTTGCTGTGAAATCGAATCAAGTTGTTCTCAAGCTTTCCATGAGGAAAAGGTTCGTGCCCGAGAGAAAACAGATGCTTTTTTTTTTTTCCAAATTCGTCCAAGATGCAAGCCCAAGACTCATCCTTGTTTATGACCCATATTGAAGAAATTCAAGAAGGGCCGTTTATCTGTTTAGGCCTTCTTCAATTGTTTGGGCACATGTTCATTTCTGATTGAATACCATGCAGGACTTACTGTTTTTCTTTTACAGTCAAGCATTATTCATATTCATTAGGCAATTCTATTGGCACCCCAAACTACTCCAAACACCACGCATCTAATCTTTCCTTTTAAAATCCCACTTTTAGCCATTAAAAAAAAAAAAAAATCAGAAACCCAGCAATGAGCCACCACACTGCTGGCAACCATTATGACGAGAAATTTTTAATTATGACGGGAATACAAGTGGTACACCACTTGTTTTAATCGAAGTGGTGGGAAATTTCATTTTTTAAGTTTTTAACTTTTTAGCACATATATCCCACCATTTGTACAATAACACGTGGTGTACCATCCCGTATACCGGTTACATTGAAAAATCTCTCCACCACGACCACCCTCTCACTGCGCTACAAACACCACCCAATCAGGCTGTCATCTGCCTTGCCAGTGCATGCGTCACCACTGGTCATTTTGTCCCCAATCTTCACCCCAATTTATAATGTTTCATTGTCATGTTTGTAGTTTATTGACTTAGCTTTGGAATTGAGATGGCTACGCTAGGTAAAAGTTCATGGCTTCCTTCCGCTTGGCCAAATACAGATAGAAAGAGCGAATGAAAGAGATAGAAAGGAGGAGATGTTACCGGCCACTAGAAGATTTGGGGTGGGTGGTCGACGTTGAGTGGCCCCTGGTGGGTAGGTGGGGTGGCTAACCTGCTGGGGTTTTTAGTTTTTTGGGAGTTTAACTAAGGGCAGTATTGGAAGTTTAGGAGCAAAACATCAAATGTGGGGTGTTGGTATTGCTGTACTTTGAAAAAAAACTACTTCTGCAGTGTTGTGAGAATAAGCAGCTGTGAAATAAAGTAGCAGAGTGTTTGGTAAACTTTTTTGTAAAAGTGCTTTTGAAAAAAAAAAAAGTAGTATTATAGTGTTTGGTAAACTTTTATGTAAAATAGATGTGAAAAAAAACCAGTTTTTCAAAACTGAGTTTTGCAGCTTCTTGTTTTTGGCTTTTTTTCACCCAAAATTGTGAAAAAAAGCTGAAGCTGAATGTTTACCAAACACAAAAACAGTTTCCAACTTTTTTTAGAATCATCTCAATACCAAACTAGACCTTAGTAGCTTGTGGAGTTGCGTATAAAAGTACCCTATTCATTTCTTTTCTTTTTCATTCATCGAAAGGCTAATTTGCTAATTTGTTATAAAAAATTATTATTTTGGTGTAAAGATATTGAGTTCAAATAAAATTTTCCTAAAATAAAATGCCATTTGGATTTTAAAATCTCAGATCAATGTATACGCGGTGATCAAATTTAAGTTTGATTAATTGAAATATTTTGAATAATGTTCCGAGTTGTTAGATTGGTATAATTTACAGCACCACCTCATTACTATATATTTCTTGCTCCCTTTTTGGCAACGCAATCTGCGAAGAAAAATAATCAATGTACAAAACTATCTCAAACCCTTTGGAGGGCACTTTGATCTGGTATAACTTTGTTAGTAGTCTGATTCTGATTCGCCTTCCGATCGCCCACTGCCTTGAATTCGGCCAGCTTTGCCAGCTCTTGAACTGCACTAACCATGCCTTCAATCCTGGCAACAATCTCAACCAGCAGAGAAGTTAAAGTCACAAGTGGAATTATGTCCATGAGAGCAACTGCTGCTGCTTCTGCTTTTGTTTTGTTGTTGTTTCCAGGACTTTCGGGTTCTTGCAGAGGCGGCTGTGGATTAATGAATAATTTAGGCAGAGATTTCAAGTCCTCTTGGAGCTTCAAAACTGAATTGTTCATTTCTCCAACGAGGAGATCTATTGCAGATGATTTCTTCATTGTTTTCATAGTCCTTGCTAGTTCTTTTATCACCATTGAGGAGTCTGAGCTTACTTTTATGGCAGTGTTGCTGATATGCGTCTTTGTGAGCTCAGATACCTGTAAATTCATATGAAAGTGGATTTGAGTCATTCTTGTTCTAATAAAAACGTTTTTAGATAACTGAAAGTGCTTAATTCATATGAAAGTGGTTCAATTTACGTCATTCTTGCGCTAATAAAAGCATTTTTAAATAATTGAAAACGTTTTTGATAGCGTCCAACCAAACAAGTCAGAAAAACTCGTTTATGGGTTATAAGAGCACTTAGAAGTCCCATAGTGGAGAAACACTTAGTAGATTCTTCTTCATGAAGCATGAAGCAGTTCAAGTATCTTTCTAGAAAGCACTTGAAATTTAATGAGAAAATTCGATTCGTTTAGGATAAAAGCGCTTTTAGTAGACTACATAATTTACCTCATTTTTGGAACTGACACAACCGTTGAACGCCTCAATGCAATAAGCGCAGTCACGCATTAATGCCCCGATTTTAAGGTATTGATTCCACGGATGCCGGAAGTTGAATCGGCCGTGTGCCGGCTCCCATATAGCAAAATTGGCCTATAAAATGGACAATTAATGGCACTATTAGAGATATATACATATTCCTTCTTTTTTTAAAGAAAAAAAATCTCGATGATACAAGAGAATTTATTGAATCAAAAATGAAAATTACACCATGAAATTATATATGTTTCTGTTGCAATACCATGGATTCTTCTGTTGCCTTTGAACCCAAAACACATTTGTAGCCAAGCAATTTATTGTCAGATTCTTTGTCACCAGCAAAGCCTCCACTATTATTGAAATAATCTGCCACACAACCTGAAGAATATAGTGGGTAATTTTATACTGTCAGCAAAATTGTCCTAGGACAACTACACAAGTTGGGATTAAATTGTCCTAAACTTGTTGGCATTGGATTAAATTTTGTACCGTCTAAGGAATTGGCAAGCGTGTCCATGTTCCGAGTGATGAGCATGTAGAGTTCCTCCCCAGCCCAAATGGGGCAAATGATCATGGTTATGACAATGCACAAGGAAGTTCCAATGATGATGGTCGACATTCTGTGTTTGGCCAGGTCGAATAACTGATCCACTCGGTAACCCGACACCGAAATTAAGCTGAATGTGAGGATGAAGATCATGGCACCGTAATCAAATCGGGCTTTCACCGACGCTATAAATCTAGAGAAGGTTGCTGCAGAAGCTGAAGAAAAAAGAATAACAGTAACAGTAACACATTAAACTTATGTGTTCTATTTATAGCTACTACAAAGTAAAATGAGATTAATAAGACTACTACATACCTAATAAGAAAATTGAAAATCCAGTGATGAAATGCTCAACATCTTTCCCGGATTTACGCGCAATACAATGGATGCCGATGGCAAGAAATCCAGCAAGAAAAGTTCCAAAAATTCTATTTATACTTTTACTTAATGTTGCACCTGCATGCACATAACAAGTTACTAATGGGTGCTTTTCGCTTTGCGACCTTCATTGAGGAGCTAATATCCCACTCATCCTTTAAATCGTGGTAAAAAACAAATGAGAAAAATAGTCGTAACTTACCAACGGTATTTTCAAAGACAACCACAACTGTCATAACTGCCCATATGGCATTTCCTCCCGCATCTTCATATAGAGGTCTCATGGCGTAAAAGAGTGAGACAACTGTGAGGGCCACCCCAACTTTGAGGCAATGGATCACCTTTCTAGGCTCATTGTGTCCCATGTCCCAAGCTTTCTTCAGAAAGTTCCATACTTTCATAACCAATCCTACAACCAGACCCTTTAATGCAAGCCAGGCTATGCGGGGGCACCATCGTGCCTTGGTGGGAGCCAAACTTTCAGATGACCCGCCAGCCATTTTTATCTTCCACTCCATTGCGCCAATCGCTTCCTTCTCCTGAGCCATTTTAAAAAAAACGAAAATAACGAGGAAAATAGAGGATTAGACGAGCAGAACTGTACGACAGAGGGTCACGTAGATGAGAGGATTGTTGGTGAGGAAAGCGGAGCGAGTGTTGAAGTATATATATATTACAAGGGAATGACCGCAATAGTTCTGCACATTGACTTATACGGGAATGACCGCAATAGTTCTGCACATTGACTTATACGATCCAATGCAATTTCCAGTCGGGCGTTCCCGTCCACCTTCCAATATTAATATTATTATTTTACATAGACATTCCCGCCCACCATAGTAATGTCAGCAGCTATCGGCCAATGCGCTTTTTGTTTTTTGCGTTGGGTAGGTCACGACAGTGTTCAACCCTCGCATGCACTCGTTTGAGAGAATTTAAAATGATATGAAATAAGAATTAGATTTTTGTTGAAGTTCTTCAATAAAATTGTCAGAAATCAGAATAGAAAAAATATTGATTTATATAAATTATTTCCTAATTCATATGAATCAAAATAAAATCTAATGACCGGAATAACTGTGAAAATCAGTATTTTATAATTATATTTTGTGTTGTCTTATATATAAAATACATATATATGTGTCGACTAGGGTTGTATATTGGTCAACACATGATGACCAAGTACATGTATCTATGTGACTCATGAATTTTAAGCATGAGCTGTTGAGATCAGGCCTTTGGTTATCCAATTGGAGCCAAAGTTATGACGTGTCATCCATTTGGAACCAATTAGATGACTCTTTCAGCCGCCGTATCACCACCATAAATAGGTGAGTTCCTGCAAAGCTTGAGGAAGCATGCAGTGCATACAACGCGGAGAAAAAGAGAGAGCGCCAGGGTTTGTGTGTGGAAATGTTAGTTGGCTTGTCTTGCCGAAGTTTAGATTATTAAGGTGTGTGATTTATGTAATGCGTTGTAATTTTTTTTTTTTTGGTAAACGAAAATTATGAGTTATTATGAGATTTATCTATTTACAAATATATCTCTATTTCAAGTCAAGCATGTTGAATTTGTTGAAATGCTTTTGGAATTATTAATTTAGTGAAATCTAAATTATTGGAAATGTTCATGGAGCATGATAACTTTAGTGTTGCATTAATCCGAGGGATGAATGTAAAATGCACACGGAGATATTAGAGTAGGAAGGTCATTAGAAGTCACGTAATGAGTTACATTTGATGAAAGATGTAATGAACACGTAAAGGGACGATGTGATATGACATTACATGGTTAAAACTTTGATATTACATCATATTTTTATAGTGTGAATGACCCTTTTATTTTACAGATGAGTTACTTGGCCAGAGAGGAACTAAATGAGATGAGGTTGTGTTAAACAAGGGATTTAAGATTTTTTATTTTATTATTTTTTGTACACCGTTTAAGGGTTTTTGGAGTTATTTTTCTAAGAGAAGTTTGCTTTTCGTTTTATTTTTTAATCACACTCCAGACGTAGGGTTAATTTTTCCACCGACTCCAGGTCCCAGGCGTGACAATAACTAAACTATTTTATATGTTAATTATTTTTAGTAAAACTTTTATTTTATTTTTCATTTTTTTTTAGGAAAACTAATGAAAATGGCTTGAAAAGTTTTAGTTTTAATAAAATATCATGTTATAAGTTTTGTTTAATAATTACTAAAAGGCCCATATTAAAGTAGTACAACTAAAAATGACCCAACTATAATAAATTATGATTTATCAATTTTAACCCTAACTTTTTTAAGTTGAGTTCCAGATTTTCATCGTTAATAGAATTCATCGTTGTTTTGCAAACCTTCTTCTTTCTCTTTGAAAAAAAAATATAGATCCTTATGCTATTTAATTTATATTTTTTATTATTTCGTTGAAATGTGATCGTCATTATTATTCATAGTATATTCGAGGTATTGTTTTTCAATTTTTTTTCGTCAGTGGAGTTCATCATTTGTTTCTTCAGAAAATAAATTTGAGATCTGCATACTATTCAATAATAATGATGGGTCACTGTTTTTAGACAGTAAAAATAAACTGTTTCTGGATTTTAAGCAACATTGTTTCTGAAATCTAAGTCACTGTTTCTGGATTCAAATGAAATAGACACATTGTTTCTTAAATGTAAGCTAGAAAATAAATAGTGAAATTCACTGTATTTGGATTCAAAGCAAAATAAGCACCATGTTTGTTAAATATAATCAATTGATGCATAAAAGAAAAGAAACAGTCAAAAATTAAAATATAGATTGTTTCTAGAATCTAAGTCAATGTTTCTAGAATCTAAGTCACTATTTCTGAAATCTAAGCCACTATTTTTGGAATCTAAGTCACTGTTTCTGGAATTCAAGTAACTGTTTCTGGATTTTGGTTCTTTTCTTTTCAGATACAATGTTTGTTTGTGCACAGACAAAACAAACACTATATGATTGTTTTTTCTTCAGAAACAGTGTTATGTTTTGGGTTCTCCAAAAATAGTTTTATGTTTTTGTTTTTTTGTATTTTTTTTCCAGACAATTTTTGCCGGTTTCTACCATTAAACTTCTTTGAACTTGTTTCAAGGGCTTTGTTCTAATGAATGCTTCCTTTTTCAACTTTAATTTGAACTTTAATTTGATTGTTTTGAAATGGGAGAATTCGATTTGATAGGAAGACATGGAGTTATTATGGCGGTTTCGTGCTGGGTTGAGATTGGTGAAGAGTGAGGACAATATCGAATCATTTAGGGGTATTTACGGAAGTGTAGATTTGTAACTAGTTGGGCTTGTAAGTTTGATCCGTGGATAATAGTTTGGATGATTTTTTTATTAAACTTTGAGTCATTTCAGTTAAATAACATTTTGGGATGGTTTTTGGTTAAATATTTGTTGGCCTAAGCCCTTTTCATTAAGGCTTCCTTTTTCTTTTCCTTTTTACTTTTTTAGCAGAGAGAATATTTTATTTATTTATTTAGTATTAAAACTTTTATTCTTTTTGTTAGAAAATACTTTTTTTTTAACAAAAAAAATAAGGAGGGATGAGCTTAAACTTACAATAGGCTAGTAATAATGTGGTTCAAATTCGTCTTTGGCGAAAAAAGATTTTAAGACCTCTCACTTATAAGTGAAGAGGATTATCACTAAATCGTATTACTAAATGGTTGTTAAGAAAGACTCTTATTCACCCTTAAGTACATTTATGTAGAAGACTATCTTACTCACATAGATTAGTACGGATTTAATATATTAAAAATTATCTTTTATTGTCACGTAACACTATGATCTAATAGTATTCTTCTTCACTTATAATACTTATTTTTTTATTTGCTTCTATATGATAAAGAAGACCCTTAATCCCCCTAAACCTTATTAAGAATATCAACATAAAGTAAAGTAAACCAAAATAAAATTTACTTGCTTTCTCTCTTTCTCTCTCTCTCTCTCTCTCTCCCTCTTCTCCTCATTGTTGACCAAAATGCTCAAGATCTCACCCGCACCATCCTCTCCAACACCCACCACCACCACCGTCTCTCCCCCATCCTCTTCTCTCTCACCCTCCCCAGCCTCAACTCCCTCCCCCTCCCTCAGAAAACTCTCATCATCGACAACCACCACCTCGCACTCTTCCATCCCTACCATAATTCCACAACTGCCATGCCCCAGACAAAGAGACCTCGACTCCGTTCTGCTCCTCCTCTTACTCTGCGAAGTACACCAGCACAACCCGCAAGGGCTGCAAACAACACCATTCCTTGTTTCGTTCCCCACATTGTCACAATATTCCTTGGAGTTTCATAGTATTATCGGTACAAAACTTGGATTCCTAATGAATGCCATTTCCAGGAATCTCTCTCTCTCTCTCTCTCTCTCTCTCTCTTGCAATACTATGGTAAAGGTCTTGAGTGGTTTAGTTTCTTTTCTGAAAACGCTCAGCTTTGGAGAGACTGACGAAGTGAGAGAGAAGGGACCGTTAGACTCGAACATTCATTTACTTTTGCTTGGATTATATGGAGAGGCCCAAATGAATAGACTACGCCCAAGTAAGGTGGCCAAATGAATAGACCAAGCCCAAGTAAGGCCCAATGTTTGAAGAGGGATGCTACAAGCTCTACGCTATCACACACAAACACAAGTGACACTACCATTCTTTTTCTTATAATTCACGTGTCCAATTACCTTTCAAGTGAACATCACTCATTTCCTTGCACAAGAATATCATTTTCCACGTAAATAGTGTAGTCAGTTGACTCATTTTGGTAAGGGTTAAATATGAAACTAATTTTGACCTATTTCGACTCAATAGTTTTAAATTTTGGAGCACTCAAATCAAATTTGACATTTGAAATTCCAAACGTTTTTATAACATAATTGAAATTTATCTTAAGATACGGAAAGCTATGAAATTCTAATACACAGACATTGTGTCTTCAAGCTTAAACCACCCAAAATAACTGGCTCTATGTTGAAGTATTATTTCAAATAGGGTGGGTAAACGGGTATAGGAATCGCGAGTCGGGACGGGTAATGTGGGTATGGGCTGGTTCCTAGTTTTTAAAAAGAGAAATGGGGCGGGACGGGCCGGGTCTTTGAAATTTTAGGTTCGAGCTAATTCCATAAGTGTAGAAAAATGGATGCCTGGACCGGCCCGTTTGTAACATTTTGCCATTCCTATTTTCTGGCACCTTCTCGAAGACTCTCCTCTCCTCCTCATTCCTCCCCTTCGGATTTGTGATTCTCAATCTCCTCCATTTCGATCTTTCTCTCCCATAGTCTCTCTCCCTCTTTCTCCCCGAACCTCCTTCTTCTTCTTCTTTTTGTTCTTCTTCTCTTCTTCAAGTTATTAATCCCATATGGGTTTTCCACAGCTTCAAGACCACAATCTCTCTCTCTCTCTCTCTCTCCCATCCACAAATAAAGGGACCTCTGCTCTCAAAGCTTCTACCTTAAAAAAAAGCCTCCGCTGTAACCTACTAGAACCAAAAAGCTGCAATGCTTTGTGGTCAATTACTTTGTCTAGATTCTTGATAAATATGTTTCCAGTTCCTCTCTTTATAATATTAGAGTCCCGGTGTGAATACATAATCCTGATTGATTTGTTATTCATTGGAGTGAAGTTCAGAACTTCCAGTGCCC